CGCTCTTCCAGTGCTTCTCCAAGAATATATCACCAGAACAGTTTATAAGAAACAGGCTGTGGATCATTTTCTGTTGGAAACACAAAGAAGTTAAAATAAACAAAAGGATATGAGGATTGACGTTATTTCTTCTCTCAGATTCCCTTTCTTACAACGGTTATTCTTTATTAACATGCACTGTGAATTTAAAAAAAAAATCTGCTTTGCTGCTTTTCTTTAAATTGCATTTTCTTAGAGAAATGTTCCATTCCACCACAAAATATTTCACAGTGGATTAAGTTGCTTATATATATATATATATCACACTGTAAGCAAGAATCCAGCACCCTTGATTTCCACTTTCATCCCTATTTGGTATTTGTAATTTATTTCTTGAAGAAAAGCTGACTCTCATGAGTTGGCACTCAAACATGTTTGGCAACATGTAAGCGTAACTTATAGAGTTTCCTATGGCAGAGGAGTTTGTGTAACATTTACACGCATAATTAAGAATTGCACTATCTTAAAGATATAGCTCTTTAGCTCGTCAGCTTTCAGCTACTGAATTAGAAAAGTGGTTTTTTTTTTATTTCCTGGCTGATTAGTCTTTTACTTATAATCTATGCCAAGCTGCACTTGGATAAAGGGTTGGAATTCATTAAAAGTACAAAAAACCAGGAGTTTAAATCTGGTTTAATGAATAAAATTGCCTCAAATGTGCTCGACACACATGAAATATGTTTCCATAAAATGTTTTACACTTAAAAACTCACTCATGAAAAAGGGGAGTATGAACTGCAGATAAGGAATGTAACTTTTTTCTTATATCTTTAAAGGTTTACAAATAACATGCCTCAGCCACTGATCCTTCATTTTATTCATGGGACAAGAAGCTTATCCGCCTTTTTTTTTAAAACTAATTCCCACTCTATTTCTCAACTTTCAATGAGATAAGTGAACTAAGTTGTTGATTCAACTGAATTGAATAAACTATTTTCTCCACATCTACAGAAAAGACAAATGCTAGCAGACTTCAGTTTATCTCTTTAGCCTTTACATCAGACAGATATAATGCTTTGGCTGACCTGCAGTATAACCATCCTCTGACAAAAATAAGGTCCAAGTTTAAACTCAGGCTTAGAAAACAAAATAAACAAATTGTAACCCAAGCACTGGCTCCTCACGGTGAAGTTCACCTGGTACTTATATCCTGCATAAATTCATTCTGTAGTTGAAGAAGCTGCCCCTGCCAGTGGCTGTTCATCCCTTTTGCCCTCCAGGTATTGATTTGAGCAGGTCTGTGGCTCTACAATTACCTATATCAGGAAACTGGTCCAGCCATAAATTGACCCAGAAAAAGGAGTTTCTGGTCAGATCAGCTTCCTGGTGCAAGTTATTACACTGCCAGAGAGTGCTACAGCTGGCACAGAGGAGATGGTGGAAATGAGCAGATGATAGCAATGGAGAGATCCTGAATTAAAGTTTATTTAGCCTTTGGAGGAATTCAGACGTGACTGGAAAGAGACCAAATAGTTACTGGGCATCCACACCTTGAAACAGGAAGATCACCATCAACTCTGCATGCCCAAGAGAAGCCAAACACATCTACCAAAAACCTATTGTAGTTTTCATTAATCTTAGGATGTTTGGCCAAGATCATGCCATAAAATGCAGATAAAATTTGCTCCTTCGCTCATGTTAACTCTGGCACACAAATGTGAAGATGGCACAGAAGCATCTAGATGTAAATGGCCCAGTCCCACTGAGATATTAAGGAGTCTAAACATTGTATGATTAAGCCTCATTCCAAAATACTGGAATAAGCACTTAGCTCCGTCCAGAGTGAGCTCTTGTTGCTGTGTCTGAATCTAAACTGTCCAGAGTACTAGGCTGACCTCCCAACATGCTTGTAACACTGAAAAATGGTCTGGCCCTGCAGATCTCAACAAAACAAAATTATGTCTTCCAAAGCTCACCAGAGAAGGTGAAAAAGGACTACTAAAGAAGGTAGCTAGCACGCTACTACCCTCCACCTAAGTCAGCAGATGTGGGAAGGGAGCCAAGATGCAGCTTTTCAAATTCTAAACTCCAGCTGCTCCTTCACATGCATGACAGCAATGTGCTCATCTTCACTGGGGCCTTGCCAGGTCTTACATACCTCGTGCTAAGAGCACATTGTCTTTGGTGATAGACGCAAAAAGACCAATAATCAGAACGTGGACGTAAAAATACAACTAAGCCAATACAGTATATAAGAGGAAGTTCTTTTGGAAACTGTGATTGCTAATTTGCTTAAGAGTGGGAAAGGAAACAAAGCTACGAAGTGTTATTCTGTGTTTCTACTGTATCTCTCCTGAACCAAATTAATCTCTAATTAGCTTGTTAAAAAAAAAGATGATTTTAATACTGTGAGCACAGCAGTCTTATAACGGAGCCTTGACACAATTGCTTTAATCCAGTTTAACCTAAACATGTTCTGAATTTAGCCAGTGCTGAACATTAAAACCCTCCAAAATCTCCTGGATAGTGACACAACAGTGGCAAGTATAATCAACCACTGAATGTCAGTATTGTTCCACACCAAGGCAGCCTAAACATATGAAGGTGATCAGCTATAAAGCTTAGAATAGTTCCCTGTACATTTTAATATGGATACAATAGCATATCTGTTAACAAACATAAAACCCAGTTCCTAGTAAATGCACACAAAGCTGCATAGGAGAGTTTCGGTACAAGCAGCACTGGTAAGACTCCATTTCCAGAGGACTTGATCTATAGCCCACTGTGGAGAAGCTATGCGGGACTGCAGGCAGCTTCGGGCGATACTCTGACAAAGTGTATCAGATACGTGTGACAGAGTGTTTTTAAGCCCTAGCAGTTGTCCTGCTGTTAACATTCATACAGATTCTATTGATCAGAAACAATTGCATTTGTCACGATATACTTTTAACAAGCACAGTAGCACAGCAGGCCAGCATAATCGCTACCTAAATAGAGCAACTTCGCTCTACTGTGCCCACAGCAAGCTCCTGGCGCATGAAATGGCTGTGTTAGCAGGGCCTCTTCTTTTGCCACAAGTTCCTCTTAGGATATTAAACCACGACTAGATATGCAGTCGAGGGAGGGCACAGGTAACCAGAAAGGGCAGCAGCGTTAGACCACTGCCCCTGTTTACTCATCTGCCCCAAGCTGCCCAGGTACCAGCTATGTTCTTAGGAGTGTTTGTGTGGCCTCGCGGTAAACTGGAGTAGCAAACTGATCCAGGGGACCATGCTTGGCAGATTAAGGCTTTACAGTACCTGTGGAAACTAAGCAGTAAAATCCCACCTAGCTGCCTACCCTATCTTCTGGGTAGGAAGGTAGGGATTACAGGATTTCCCATGATACATAAGAGTTCCCTCCAAAACCCCTCGCATACTCCTTTCCTCTTTCACAAGTTTTAGCAGTACACTAATTTGAAGTGCTCTGGAAAATCGCGGCTCTCTCCTTGCAGCTTAAGCACAGAGCCGGCAGACCCACGAGCACAAGCCCTGCCCTATCACTCAATGGGCAGCTCAGTTTGAACGCTTCCCTGTGCCAGCGCTGACTATAGTAAAGAAGCTCTTAGAGCAGTGGGGGCATCAGTCTATTACATGCAAGACTAAGTCATCTGATTTATCCCACACACTGTCAAACAACTCGCACCAGCCAATTAAAGACAGATTTCATGTTGGATATCTTACAACTGGTACTACTACAAAAATACCTTATGTAAGCTATTATTTAACAAAAATTACTTACAGTGCTCCCAATACTGAAGATTTCCTTGCTGCTCTATTTTTTGAGTGCCAGATGTCATTTCAGACACGTAGACATCCCTGAATTCATTTCTCAGTACCCTATCTGCTTCTATCTCATCAGAACATTAGATTTGCAAAGATTAAAAAATGCTGAACATAAAAAAATCAATCTAGTAACAGTAAGACTCCTCACACCAATAGGTCAAACTAATACTTGTGTCCAAACAGCAAAGCATGTTAAGAGCTGTGACACTTTGAGGGTAAAGGTCTTGAATCAAAGTTCGTAAGTCTAAAAGAACATTAGCAGAAGCACATCACCAAAATTTAAGAATCATGAGAGTACCTGTGCAGCAGCGTACACATACACCACTTTGAGATGGCAGCATAAAACCACTCTATGTAAGATACTGAAGGTGTGCTTCTAGGACTATTTCAAAAGGATGTGCCTCCCATCTCCCTGGTTTTAGGCCCACCTAAGAAGCGTACTGAAGACGTACGTGAATTATTATTTGCATCTTTAGTCCAGAGCAAGCCATTTAAGCTCATTTTTAGTAGGCTGACAGCCTTCCATACTACTGCCTGAGCGAAAGGCATTTTACAGGCGCTGCAGCAACCAGCAGCCCAGCAGAAGTTCTGCAGCTTCTTCTCACAGACTTCCCATCCTTGCTCTGACACACGAAACTCCACGTGATTATTTGTAGTCATTTCCACCCCATCAAAATTTGAAGTCCTCACAAAAGAACTAAATATTTTAACTAAGGCGCCTTCAATACACTGTTTCCAAGTCTGTAGCTTTTCTTTTGACTAAATCTGGATTTTGCAATGTTACTGTTTTTTCAGTCTCTTGGCAGAGAAACATCTGGCCTGAAGTCACAGAAGGCTCACAAGACAAAAGTGGAGCTCATTGGCAAGAGGGAGAGGCTGTGAGCATGGGAAAAAGACTGATTGCACGTGCTTGTCCTTAGCTACAATTAAGTACTCGAAAATGCAACTAATGCAGAAATACTGTTACAGCTGCTTTTCCATAACACCGAGCTGAGTTACAGTCAAAGCTCAGGGAAGTGAGGAATTTGTCACTGACCTCTGCAATGCCCTTTAGAGCTAGTAATAATTACTGAAAACGGCTCAAAATGGGACCATCACTGGGAAAGTATTCCACAGCTTCCATGTTCCCTGCATTTGGCACAGCTGCTCTGAAGGGTGGAAGGATTAGTGGGGGTGGACTGTCTGAGCCTCTGTTATGTATTTGTGGAAATGAACTTCTACTGACAAGCGAATGGAAAGTAATCAAATGCCTAAAGTAATCTGG